CCCCAAAACCCCAAAACCCCAAAACCCCAATATCTTTAATATTGGTCTTAATGAATTAATTTGATTTAATTTTATAGGCAATAATTTAAATCAACTTAGTTTAGAATGCTAATGAACTTCGAAAGCACTATTGGATTTTGTTTTTAATAGTTTTTTCAATCGTCTTGCTCTGAAACTTTCTGCAACTAATGCAAATCATTAAGTTGCTCTTTTAAGTCATTAATAATGTCGTTTAGCTTTTTCACAGTTTCATTGTCAGATTTCCATGTTGATACTAGCTCGTAAATGTTTATTCCTAATCCAATACCAATCAGCAAACCTCCTTTAAGAGATTTAGCTACACTTGTAGCAGTCTTAACAGTACCAGCAACCTTTGCAGCCTTTTGAAGTTTTGAAGCCATTTCAAATGCTTTTGTAAATTTCTTTAAATTTTTTGCAGACTTGTATAATTTGAGAATTTTTGAATCTTTGCCCATAAGCTTCAGGACTTTATCTTTTGCCATTTTCTTAAGTTTTTTTTCTGCCTTTTCTTATATCTTTTCTCCTATTTTTGTCAAAATATCAATAAATTCAGCAGTTTAGCCTGAGTCATTTTCAAGGAGGTCAGTGACATTTTTCATTGTATTTCCTTCAATTTTTGATAAGGTTATGTCAGTTCCTAGGTTAGTTGCTGCTCCAGCAGCAAGTGTTATTGCTCCAATAGGTGCCAATGGAGAGAATAGCATTAATGTTCCAGCAATTTATGCAATATTTCCTGCTGAAGCAGCAATTTTGCAATTATTTATATGCTATTCAAGTTTTATCTTTAACTCGTTCAAATCTTATATTGCCTGCTGCTTTCTTTCAATCGCCATCCTTTAGTGATGAAGAATTTTATCGAGATCAGATGGTCCTCCACAGCAAATAACAGCACCCATAGCTATAATCTTTGTTCTTAGAAATTTATTAATTAAATCTTAATTATTTCTAATTAAATTTTGTTCAATTATATTATACTATTTATTTTTATAGTTCGAATTTCAACTTTGTGGGGTTTTGGGGTTTTGGGG